ATATATATATATATATATATATATATATAGATTATTGCTATTTTGAAATAAGTTCTTAAACTTATTTTTCTTAAAACATAGAACAGTACATAAAGAAGTAAAACAAACAATTATCTCTTCTAGTTACGACCTCTGTACTCAATTGCTGCTTTACATAAGTTGCTAAGCCTTTAAAGAAATTGCACGTGGAGGATATGAAACAAAATATTTTTTTTAGGTTTTATATATTCATTTGAATAACTAAAAAATCATAAATTACTACATTAATACCATAGAATTCAACTGTAATTTTTCAAGCTTAGTAACTACGATGTATTTTACTCTTAAAAAAATATGAAATTTTGAGCAGACACACCCTACCTGATTGAAATATTGGTTCAAAAGAAAGATATGGCACCAAGTTCATTAAAATGGCTGAGAAAACAACTAGGGGGACATCCTGAGCTTCTGATTGGTTTTAATTGTGTGATATAGAGAAGAAAATGTATAGAAGGGAGCATTTCCAAAAATGGAAAAAGGTAGGTGGGGTGCCACTGTGTTTATTACATGAGCAATATCTTAGCAAACTGAAAATATATGAGGCTCTTATTTTATATTCTAGCTTGTCAAATCGGTAATTTGAGTTTCTAATTTGTTCGAAACTATAGACTTAGTATTTTGACCTTGCAAACATCTAATCTGAACAAGTGTTGCATTCAACATCCCACGAGACACAAAAATCGATGCTTATCTGTGTTTCCTTAATATTTACTTTTAAGTTAAGAAATTGAGTAATGTATAGTTCTAAAATTTTAATCATAATCTACAGTTTGATACCAAACTTACTGACATAAATTCATGAAATAGTAGTTCAATAAAATTTTGAATGAAAGTCAACAAACAAGATGAAATGGCCTTTCACCCGTGAACTGTCTCAAAAGGGTTAATGAACATACATTCTAATTTATTCAGTTTGACTCCTAGTTGTTTAACTCTTTTACAATGGGTACCCCTTTAAACTCCTTGCTGCACAAATCCCTGAGTCAGTGCTCCAGATAAGGGGTGTAAAGACATAATTCCTGACCAAAAATCAGCCATTTATGTCCTTAAAAAATACTGAGAAGTTGTTTTATTGCCAAGAAAAAATAATATGGCTTCTGCCAATTTAACAGCAGTACAATGGTTAATGGGCACATTCTTGTAGCTTTCTGCAGTTATGCAAAAGATCTGCACAGTTCACACAGTAGAGCTGCAAAAATAAGTGCTCTCTAACCTCCAGAAGTTTCTATTGAGCCACTCATGAATGATACAATTTTGTGTAAAAAATAAATAAATAAATAAAAGTTGTAATGTCATTATTTGTGTTTATTGTGACTATATCTGGTAATTCAATTTGCTGAATTAATCCTGTGCCAAATTTCACTGTTTGAAATAATAATATAATTCATAATTAATTAAATT